TAAAAATACAGAGGGGAGGAGGGGAGCTCGAATGGGAAAGGGAGAAAGAGAGGGGGGAAGAGAGAGATGGAGAAAAGGGAGGGTGGCTTGACGTGGTGGTCATGGGGGAGAAGAAAATGGGTGGTTGCGGGGGTTATGGGTTCGGTGTGGAGGGTGCTGTGGGTGAAAAAACATCTGGGTTCGTTTGGGGGGGTGGGTCTGTGATAGAAGACTGGTAAGACTACATGGTCTGAGATTATCTTCTGTTCAAGGATCTAGACAAGCTCGTCAAGGCACCATCTGGAAGACGCATAGTCTTTTGAAAATAAAATGACAGAACTTCGTGACTGTTGGATGGCTTTCTCAAAATTTGGCTTAATATCTTCCCCTCTCTCAAGTTCTTCTTCATCTCGGAACGTGGAGAAGCCTTTGTCCACAAAGGCTGCGTAGAGATGGTCGGTAAAAGTCTTACGGCTGTAGAAATATTATAGCCGTGCGGCTATACTGTTATAATTTCTATTTATAGTATAGCCTCCCGGCGATACTTTTCAAATTTCTATTTATAATAATTAAATAATATGTAGCCTTATTAATTACTTTCCTTAGTAATTTTTTTTAATTATTATTTATTTAGTGAATAATTAGTATTAAATATTTTAGGGAGTTTCACTAAAACACCCAAAATGGGGTCTGAAATTATAAAAAAACCCAAGCACTATTTAAACATATAAACACACCCAAAACCCATCATTACACACACTCAAAACCCATTTATAAACACACCCAAAAAGTTGACTTTGAAGTTGATTTTGGGTGTGTTTCTATGTTTAAATAGTGCTTGGGTTTTTTTATAAATACATGTCTAGGATTGGGTTTATTTATAAATTTGTACAATTAATTAAGTTCATAAATTATATTACTTGATAAATAGTGATTAATTTAAAGGTATTTAAATGGTATAGCCGCACGGCTATACCTCTAAATTATTGTATTTCCAGCCACACGGCTGTACTGTTAAAATATTTTACTTAAAAGGTATAGCCGATCGGCTATGCGTTTATAATTTCTATTTGTAGAGTCTAGCCGAGCGGCTATACGTTTAACATTTCTATGTATAGTAATTAAATAATATCTTAGCCATATTTAATTACTTTCATTAGTAATTATTTTTAATTATTATTTCTTTAGTGAATAATTAGTATTAAATATTTTAATTAACTTCATAAATTATATTACTTGATAAATATTAATTAATTAAAAGGTATTTAAAAGGCATAGTCAGGCAGCCATACTGTTAAAATTTCTATTTATAATAATTAAATAATATCTTAGCCTTATTTAATTACTTTCATTAGTAATTATATTTTAATTATTATTTCTTTAGTGAATCACTAGTATTAAAGATTTTAATTAAGTTCATAAATTATATATGGTTTACACCAAAATGATATTTTCCACTACTCGTAATGAGAAGCAAGATTGAAAACGGCCGAAAAAGAAAGAAAGAAACGCAAGATCGAAGCTCAATTTTCTGCCATTGAGATGATCTGTAATTTGCAACAAGATACTGAGTTATTTCTTCCACATTCAGTTGGGAAACTCGTAACAGCTTTACACAACAATGTGAAATGAGAGACAGAATGCAAATGTCAATGGTATCAATCAAGACTGGTATAACTACATGGTCCAAGATACTTTTGCGTTCAAGAATCAAGACAAGCCATAAACAACCAAAGCTATCAAATTGGATTCTATAATCCATAAGCTGCGCAATTGGTCAGTACTACTACTATATTGACGTGGAGGATACGTACTATGAGCGGAGACAGCTTGCTTGTGACGGTTGTTGAGCAACCATCTTCTGAGCGATTCAACCGTTTGGATATTTTTTTTGCTCAGGACACCTTGTTGCAGCACATTTTCGTCTGTTAAAATTGCAAATTAATGACAGCTAGAATTAGTCTCCATAAAATGCGCATAAGAGCAACACTTTTGACACGATACAAATGTGGATCTATTCTTAAATGAGTGGAGTGGAGTCAGAAAGTATAAACGAGAGACACACCTGTTTCTTGATCAGAGTAGTTTGAGTCCCCATCCCCAAATATGTCATCAAACAAAACCGACTCCCCACAACGTCCAAATGTCCATATTCTCCTTGATATTGGTCCATTGGAGAGGAAGTATGTTCTTGGTATCAGCTCGAATTCTTGCAAATGTCTTAAAACGACAGATGGAAAAGAAGGAACTGCATTGTCGTCGTCTTGGGCAATCATCTTCTCTTGATCTTGTTTGTATACAAGCTGGATGCCCCACTCATTTAATCGAAACAAGGATCTCATGAACATTGAAACTGTTACTTCGTCACCACCCTTCACTTCATTCCCCAAACTCCAATGGCTTAAGAATATCATGTCTTCTCCTAAATCTGGAAAGCCAACGCATGATGGATCATAGATACGCTTCATTCCTGTGCTCTTATTATGGACTTTAGTCACTATTGGACTAAATTTGTTACAATTATAACCAGGATAAAAATCACCATCAAAGCTTGTGTATACAGAGAAGATGTTCAATCCTTGAATCCTGAGGTTAGAAAAAGGCACAGTAAATGATATTGAAGAGCCTCTACTTGTATGGCTGAACTGGCCTGGCACCACATTCCCAGGAAGAAACGTGCTGAATATACCATATTCATATAGTCCCTACATATATGCCACTTAAATAAAAACATTAGTCAAATCTTATGTTCCATGTTATGAGAGAGAGAGAGAGAGAGAGAGAGAGAGAGAATCACCTGGATAGGATACTTCCTGATCTTGCAAAACTCCCAACTCCTACATGGGAATAACATTTGAATGGTGATTCCCTTGGATTTCAAGTTGCACAAACCCAAAAGCTTGATTGTTTCTGCATCACATCTTGCAATAGGTACAAAGTTGTACGGGTATTCGATCTCAACTAGCTTCGGGTTATACATGCTAAGATATTCTAAGGGTACGCACGAACTTGATTGAAATGTTACTCTTTCCAACAACCTGCAACCAACCACAATGAAAGTTCTTACTCTCGGTAGCCCTTCAAGTGTTTGGAGCCTCTTGCAATTGGAAAAGTTGAGTTCAACAAGCCCCCTAAGCCCTCGGATGCATTGTGGTAGGCTACAAATTGGATTTTTGCTTAGATCTAAGAATTTTAATGAGGGTAGGTTACCAAAATCTTTGGGAAAAGCCTCATCAGAAAGATTGCAACTCAAGAGATTTAAATGTACTAAACCACGTGGTAAGAAAGACCACAAATTATTTGGAGTTCTCCCTACACTTGGGTTGACCTTTCCAGTGGTAGTCATGAACACTTGACTTATTGGAATTTTGGAAACATCTAGCACTTTTAAAGACTCCATCTTCCTCAACTCCGTCAAAAAATCTTTGAGATTTGAGCAGCCAGATAGACTAAGTGTATCAAGTGATTGGAGCTTAAAAAGATTCTTTGGAAGCTTCCTAATCTTTCTGCAACCTTTCAGATTCAAGCAAACGAGATTCTTTAGGTTTACAATGGACTCATGGACATCAACCAAGCTCGTACAATCTTCGAGAACAAGTCTTTCTAAATTGGGGACCAGTAAGAAGCTAGAGATTTCAGTAAGGCTATGGGAATGACTTAGATCAACGGTCTTCAAAGAGCGAAGGTACTGAAAAAGAAAGAAAGAATGTGTGGACTTAAGTCTTATGCATGTAAAATTAATCATAAACCACATTTAACAAAAGACAATGGACAAGTGTGGAGTAGCATACCTTGATTCCCTTAAAGACTTGTCTCAAGTTACTGTGAGGCATTTCAAGATAAACCAAGCACTCCAAAGGAAAATCACTGGGTATAGATTTCAAAGGAAATTCAAGCCAACGCAACCATCTTAATCCTTTCGGAAATTCTTCAATGCAACCCTTGAATCGAACGTGACTAAGATGGAGTAGTCTTAGTTTGGACATCCTTGCAAAGGCATTAGTTTCCAAGACTTCCTCATCTGAGTTTCCCCAAGGAGTGTTTAACGAGTGCATATGCATATCCAAGGCAAGGCCTTCAATGGTTTCTGTACCCTAATAAAAAATTTAAAAAAAAAACAGAAGAAACATTTGGATAAGCAAGCAACAACAAGGACCCCAAAAAATGCATGACATACGTAAAAGAATGATACTTACACTCTTTTCTCTCAATACATTGAAGGAATCCTTATCATTCCACAATCTACTACGATTCGCAGGCTCCTTGGATTCTAGGCGAACAATTTCTCTTCCCATATCACATATCATTTGATGCATACTCACTTTCTCATCTTGATCAACTGTTACCAAGCATCTATCCATAAGATTTTCAATGCCAACGACTGTGAAGAAATCACATCCGTCTAGTATTCTAACAATATAATCTTTTCTCTTCCCAACAAAGAAACATGCAATGTGAAGGAATAAATTTTGGTCATCGGGGTTATCCTGTAAAGCATCATAGCTTATTCTGAGTCTTTGTAGGATTTCATTATTTGGAATAGCTTTTAATTTCTCCAGTGCACTTTTCCACACATCTATAGGTCGTCCTGATAGAGAAGAACCCAAAATTTGAAGAGCTAATGGAAGTCCTCCGCATCGATCTGCTATCATTTCTGAAAGTTTCATCCAATCTTCACGTGGATGGGCTTGTCGAAAAGCATGCCAACTGAAGAGTTGCAGTGATTCATTGGCATTCAGAGTTTCAACATTGTAAACTGTACAATTAGAGAGTTCATGATCCCTCAACAACCCTGCACACCTAGTTGTTATCATTATTTTACTTCCTGGACAAAACCAATCTTGCATAGAAAATATTGCACCTATTTGCTTCATATGATCGACATCATCAAGAACAAGAAGAACTGTTTTAGATATTATGGCATCTCTAATCTTTTTATTTCCCTCACCGACACTATGTATTTTCACTTCTCTTCCACTCATAATATGGTGAAGGAATTGTCTTTGCAGTAGAACTAAACCATTGGGCTGTTTTGAAGTTTCCCTGACATCTTCAAGGAAACAGCTCCGTTCAAATCCTCTGTAGTTTGAATTGTAAGCAAATTTCGCAATGGTTGTCTTTCCAATTCCCCCAACCCCATTAATTAAAAGTATACCAACATCGGTTGATCCATCCTGTAACCATGAATTAATAAATTCAACTCGAGAATCCATTCCAGTCGGGTAGGGTGCAATAGTAAAGGGTGTGCGCATGCGACTTAGTTTGTCGTCAATCACTTTAATAATTTGGTTGACAAACTTTGACTCGTACCTAATAATTGCAATTAAAATGAAAAATAAATAACATTTAACTAACATGTCATGATATCAAATACTTAAAAAGTAGTCTCATTCACCCATTAGCTTAGTTTTTAAGACCACCCCTGATAAGAAAAGCTATAGCTAGTTAAAGTTATCAAAAAATCAAAGAGGTAGTTGGAATGAAGTTACCCATTAGCTTGATTTTTTAAGACCATCCCTGATAGATCTGCAACTTCTCTAAGTGCTACCCTCCATTGTTTGATCTTGTTGGGTGATTGCTGATTTTCTTCATGCCTAGAAAATGCTTCTCCAACCCTTCCTGTCTGGTTCCTCAAGTGGGAAGGATCGACGTCGTAGAAGACTGGTAAAACTACATGGTCTGAGGAGATCCTCTTGTGTTCAAGGATGAAGACAAGCTCGTCAAGGCACCATCCGGAAGACGCGTAGTCTTTTGAAAAAACAATGACAGAGCTTCGCGACTGTTGGATGGCTTTCTGCAATTCTGGCTTTATACCTTCTCCCCTCTCAACTTCTTCTTTGTCTCGGAACGTGGGAAAGCCTTTCTCCACAAAGGCTGCGTAGAGATGGTCTGTGAAAGTCTTTCGAGTGTCTTTGCCCCTGAAACTCAAGAACACGTCATAACGACATCGACAAGGAGAAGAATTGGAAGAGGAGGGTTTTTGGTGCCTAAACCGAGCCATGATCACCAATGACGGATTTAGGATTTTTTTACAGGGGTGGGCTAAATTTTTTTTTTTTGACACCTATGTGATTCAGATTACGGTCGGGTCCTCCACCAAAACACCCACAAGCTCAAGCTGGTCAAACCACCTATTCAACATCAGCACATAGCATCTTCACAACATAAAACCACCATCAATGCGTAAACAGAGAAACGCATGGAAAAAAGAAGAAGGGAGAAACAGAGACTTAATTAAACAAAAGAGAAACAAATAGAGAAGACATAAGAAAAGAAAGACAGTCCTCCGCATCGATCTGCTATCATTTCTGAAAGTTTCATCCAATCTTCACGTGGATGGGCTTGTCGAAAAGCATGCCAACTGAAGAGTTGCAGTGATTCATTGGCATTCAGAGTTTCAACATTGTAAACTGTACAATTAGAGAGTTCATGATCCCTCAACAACCCTGCACACCTAGTTGTTATCATTATTTTACTTCCTGGACAAAACCAATCTTGCATAGAAAATATTGCACCTATTTGCTTCATATGATCGACATCATCAAGAACAAGAAGAACTGTTTTAGATATTATGGCATCTCTAATCTTTTTATTTCCCTCACCGACACTATGTATTTTCACTTCTCTTCCACTCATAATATGGTGAAGGAATTGTCTTTGCAGTAGAACTAAACCATTGGGCTGTTTTGAAGTTTCCCTGACATCTTCAAGGAAACAGCTCCGTTCAAATCCTCTGTAGTTTGAATTGTAAGCAAATTTCGCAATGGTTGTCTTTCCAATTCCCCCAACCCCATTAATTAAAAGTATACCAACATCGGTTGATCCATCCTGTAACCATGAATTAATAAATTCAACTCGAGAATCCATTCCAGTCGGGTAGGGTGCAATAGTAAAGGGTGTGCGCATGCGACTTAGTTTGTCGTCAATCACTTTAATAATTTGGTTGACAAACTTTGACTCGTACCTAATAATTGCAATTAAAATGAAAAATAAATAACATTTAACTAACATGTCATGATATCAAATACTTAAAAAGTAGTCTCATTCACCCATTAGCTTAGTTTTTAAGACCACCCCTGATAAGAAAAGCTATAGCTAGTTAAAGTTATCAAAAAATCAAAGAGGTAGTTGGAATGAAGTTACCCATTAGCTTGATTTTTTAAGACCATCCCTGATAGATCTGCAACTTCTCTAAGTGCTACCCTCCATTGTTTGATCTTGTTGGGTGATTGCTGATTTTCTTCATGCCTAGAAAATGCTTCTCCAACCCTTCCTGTCTGGTTCCTCAAGTGGGAAGGATCGACGTCGTAGAAGACTGGTAAAACTACATGGTCTGAGGAGATCCTCTTGTGTTCAAGGATGAAGACAAGCTCGTCAAGGCACCATCCGGAAGACGCGTAGTCTTTTGAAAAAACAATGACAGAGCTTCGCGACTGTTGGATGGCTTTCTGCAATTCTGGCTTTATACCTTCTCCCCTCTCAACTTCTTCTTTGTCTCGGAACGTGGGAAAGCCTTTCTCCACAAAGGCTGCGTAGAGATGGTCTGTGAAAGTCTTTCGAGTGTCTTTGCCCCTGAAACTCAAGAACACGTCATAACGACATCGACAAGGAGAAGAATTGGAAGAGGAGGGTTTTTGGTGCCTAAACCGAGCCATGATCACCAATGACGGATTTAGGATTTTTTTACAGGGGTGGGCTAAATTTTTTTTTTTTGACACCTATGTGATTCAGATTACGGTCGGGTCCTCCACCAAAACACCCACAAGCTCAAGCTGGTCAAACCACCTATTCAACATCAGCACATAGCATCTTCACAACATAAAACCACCATCAATGCGTAAACAGAGAAACGCATGGAAAAAAGAAGAAGGGAGAAACAGAGACTTAATTAAACAAAAGAGAAACAAATAGAGAAGACATAAGAAAAGAAAGACAAAAGAAAAATGGCGGAGAGAAAGAAGAAGAACAAGAAAAGAGAGAGAACAAAAAGAAAAAGAAGATAGAGGAGAGAGAAAAGAAAGAAGAAAAGGGGCGAAGGAATTAAAGAAGAAAGAGAAAGAAAATAAGAAAAGCTCGTCTAGGCACCATCTGGAATACGCGTAGTCTTTTATAAATACAATGACAGAACTTCGTGACTGTTGGATGGCTTTCTCAAATTTTGGCTTAATATCTTCTCCTCTCTCAAGTTCTTCTTCATCTCAGAACGTGGGAAACCTTTGTCCACAAAGGCTGTGTCTTCACCTCTGAAACTCAAGAACACGTGGTAACGACATCGAGAGGGAGAAGAATTGGAAGAGGAAGCATAATCTTGATGAGCTCTAGAAAGAGCCATGATCACACGAAAATTGCTCTGAGCTAGCTAGCTAGGCCAGGGAACAGGGAAAATATCTAAACACTGAGAAATTTAATATTAATTTTTTATTTAGAATGGAAATTAATAAAGACTATTGGGTTATTATAATGGGGGACGACAACTCTTAAAATGGGGGACGACAACTCTTCGTATATGTCTGGAACCCTATCAGACATGATCTCATTAACTTCGAGCAAAATTACCAACTACCTTTTCCAATGTAGGAAAAAGTACAAATTGGGACAATGATTCAGAAAGGATGGATAAGATGAGAGGTAGAGTAGAGGGTACAATACAACTAATCAGTTGGCTTCCTTCCTCTTCCTCCCAAGTACAGAAGCTCTCTCTAATCGGGGGCCGCCTATCCTTCACTTCTTAAAGGCCGCCATTGACGACTGAGCTGCCTCATACACTAGAAACAAGTGTATAACCATTTGAGCCAACACCACCTTCCTGGATTTTCAAGATTTCAGATGGACGACCTACCTGAAGGAATAGTAGGAAAGTTAGAGTCACCCTTAGCAATTCTATTATACAAAATGGGACAAAAGTTGCCTAAAGCAACCGCTGTTGCAATAAATTCTTTTGAAGAAGTAGACCCTGAAGTTGTAAATGTTGGCGGAACAATATGAAATATGAATTTAAAGATAATAATAATTCTCAACAAAATTGTAATAATCAAATACAATAACAAATTTACATGAAATTAATGTAAATCAACAAACACAAGTAGAAATACTAACAACTTTAGCGATTGAGGCTTGCAAGAATTGCAATGTCCTAAAGACAGATTTCGCCCCTGCCCTTGTGCTCGCAGTTCTATAGGCGTCCGTCTCCCAGGATTCAACAATCGATAATCCTAAATTGAAGCACTTCAATTTAAGACTCTGGCGAACCAATTATATATTTATACTCTCAAAACACTTAGGAAGGAAACTTGAAGATTGATACTCTAACATATCATGGGTGGGGAAAAACTCCTATATCGTGAAGAAGAAGGTAATGGGTTTATATAGAACCCATCAGGTATTCATCAATAGACACAACTTTTGATAGCAAAACGGACTCTTGTATATTTTCACTCAACCATAAATTTAAATATTATAATATTTAATTAATATTATAATTATTAAATTTCCAACAATCCCCCACATGAGTGAAAATTTAAGAAGAAATTTGAGAGTACTGGTGGAAAAGAGATGCGTCTGAAGAGGTGTCTTTTGGACTTGAACCTATCATAGTGAATACCTATCGGATTTACTTGGTGACGCAGTGGATATAATGAACTTGAACTGTTCACCGCAGTAGTAAACCGAGACAATAGGAATCACACATCTCCAATCCTAATATATTATGGTTCATACGGTTGTGTTCATTTTGGTCCTGAACAATTCCCAGATTCATGAGAGCTTTAGAGAACTTAGCCATCTTGTTCTCATAAAAGCGACCCCACTTCTACTCTCACATAGGTGACACGCTGATTAAGAATAGTCTGCCCTATTCCTCTTATTTGTAAGATATCAGTATCATTAAACATAAGTACCCTTTATACTTCTGCAGACAACACACTTCTTCCATCATAGGAATGAGGTATAGTGTGTTTAACAACTTTGAATCATGCCCAACCAGTTTGCCTATTGAACCTAGACCATGGGATCTCCAATCAACT